CTACTACTACTACTACTACTACTACTACTACTACTAACTACAACAACTAACTACTACTACTAACTACTACTACTAACCACTACTAACTACTACTAACTACTACTAACTACTACTAACTACTACTACTACCTACTACTACCTACTACTACCTACTACTACCTGCTACTACCTACTACTCCTACTACTGCTACTACTACTACTACTAACTTCAACAAATACTACTACTACTACTACTAGTACTACTACCACTACTACTACTACTACTACTGCTAATAACTACTAGCTACTACCTACTAACTACTATCTACTAACTACTATCTACTAACTACTACCTACTACCTACTACTACTACTACTACTTCTACTACTACTACGACGACGACTACTACTACTACGACTACTACTACTACTACTACGACTACTACCACCACTATAGTACTACGACTACGACTACGACGACGACGACTACTACTACATACCCTGCTTAGCGTGTACCCTGCCGTCGCAATAAACCCTGCTTCCCGTCGCAAAAAACACCGGTCACCGATGCAAAAAGCACCGGTTACAGTCGCAAAAAAGCACCGCGCACCGTCGCAAAAAACACCACGGACCCGTCGCAGAAAACACCGCTGAATCTACTGACGCAAAAAACACCGTCACCAGTTGCCGTCGCAAAAAACGCTGGTTGCCGACGCAAAAAAAAACACGAAGCCCCTTCATTTATGTATTGTTGGATGTGTGGTAGTTTGGACTTTGAACGTAGTTCGTATCTGATGCCTCATAGCTTATAACCTGTGATTGTTCTATGTTGCAGCTTTAATTGCCATGGAGTTCCTTTCAGCATGGATCATGTTATTCGACGAACCACTGTTTCTTTTCCCACCTCGTTCATCTGGACTTGGAACGGTTTGGAAGAACTTGCCTCACCCTTGCCACATACCCAAGGTGTGCAAGGTGTGCTTGAACGGTGGGATGTTGGCATTGGTGCTGTGAGGCGATTGAGGGCCTGTGGCAACATGTTGAGCATGAAACCAATGAGCAGTCCAACATACAGAAACAATGTGACGGCGGAACAGTAACACTCAGACTCATTTTTGAATTGTGTATTCTTTTTCCAGGGTCTCATGCCATAGCTGCAGTTCGGTGATTCTTTGGTCCACCAGCCACCTTCCACTCCACTTTACGCATAAGGAGGATCTGCCAAAAGACAGGTCGTCGGATTCAGAGTTCAATTGCGTTAGCCAGGCAGCTTTTAGGCCACCCATCCCCAACTGGTCAAGAACTCACACGCCCAAAATGCCGACTAGCCATTCAGAACCCCCAAAATGCTGCAAATACCACCACGCCTACGTATAACCATCAGCGCGGACCATTGTTTTATGTATTCCAATCAGATCATTTGTTTATTTTTCCAGGAAATTTGGAATAATATTGTTTCAACGGATTCTTTTTTGACAGCGCCTTGAAGGTCGGCCTGTCAAGTGCGGACCTTGCCGGCGTCGGGCTAAAAGTCGTGATTGGACTGTCTAGGCCCCAGCTCAGTGGTTTGACTGAGGCTTGTGGGGGTTAGTTACAATGTTGGTGTCTCAAAACCCAGAACCATTTGTAAATCTGCCCTTTTGGACAATTTAAAACACTCCCTAGCTACATGGGGGCACCTGGTGGTTTTGTGGTGGTTGAACACATCTTCCCAGTGGCGAGGTCACCTCTGAAAGACCTTTTGTGAAGGTCGAAGAACTACTAGTACGAAGTGCGAAGAAGATATTGAAAAACCAACGTCCATTTTTGCAGCAACCACAAACAAGCAGAAGCAAGAACTTACCAAGTGAGAGGCCAATGGTTTGGATCCAGCGTACAGTCTGAAATGAAGTCCAGATGGTCCGGCTCCAGCGTACAGTCCAATTTCCAGACCATTGCGTGGTAGTGAGTCTACCATAATTACTATAAACAATTATATACACACATAGGGTTTGGCAAGTTTGGCAAGTTTGGCGCAATTGAAGACAGGAGCAGCTGAATGAGGCCTGAAACAAACTAGTTCAGTCTGGGAAAAGCTGAAGAATCAGAGGGGAACCATGTAACACTGGAGCAAGCTGACCAAGATTGGAAATCAAACCGATCCCTAAATCAGCTGTACAGGACTATTTCAAAACCAAAAGATGTCAGGTTCCTGGGGCCTGGGGCCCTCTATGTACACAATCAAACAAACATCAAAAAACCAGCGGAATTGCAAAACAAGACTAAAGAGCCAAGCAGAATCTTGAAAGGTCTTGCTCTATGTTTCACTCTTTTTGTGATTCTATGTCGTTTGTTTGTGTGGAGTTTCTTTCCAGAACATCCCAGGACTCTCGTTATATAATATTGCAATGAGTTCTGCTGAAACGAAGTGGAACTACGAAGATATGTCTCCTTCTCTACGAGCTTTTTTGGCTGAAGCAACTGTGCTCACCCCCCCGCCACTCCAATGTGGGTGGCGGGGGGTGTAGACAGAGAGCGATGGTTCCGCCACCGTTTTCGTACGGGTGAAGTGGTGGAAGGAGCGATCCGTGACGATGAAGGGCGCTCCCAAGGAACCATCATCCTAGTGACGGAGACGGTGGCGACAGACAGCAAGGGTCACTGGATTGTGGGGAAATACATCTGCGCCAGTGATCCTCACATGACCTGGTGGATGACCGCCGGTGAGGGCAAAAAGTTGGCTGGGAAGTGCTACTATAATTTTTGCGAGGGATCGGCTTCTGACTGTACCGCCACAAGGCGAGGGACAGCAATCCACATCGAGAAGTTCCGGGTCCTGTCACAGAAGGAAGTGGACAATAAAATCCCGGCCTGGGCCTATGAGAAGGAAGCTGGAAAGGCGTTCCAGGCCTATCTGAAGAAGAAAGACATGGCTCCGAGCCCCAAGACAAGTGCAGCAGCTTTACCCTGGGTTGAACCAGGTGAAGATGAATCCGAAGGTGAAGGGGAGGAGTCAACTGAAGAGAGCTCGGAAAAGAAAGGCATAAACTTGCTGCTGTATAGTGGTTGCTGCTGTTGCTGTTCCACAGTTGTTTTGGCATTCATTCATTAATTTGTCAATGGTTGCTCTTGACAAATTGACAAGATGAAAAGATAAAGTCTAACAATTTCATCTAATTTTTTCGAAGTGATATCTTGAAGACTGAACATGACGGAAAAATAGAGTTTAACAATTTCATGTAAGTTTTGGGAAGTGATATCTTGAAGACTGAACATGAGGGAAAAGATAGAGTTTAACGCAATGTCATGTAAATTTTGGGAAGTGATATCTTGAAGACTGAACAGTTTAACAATTTCATGTAAATTTTAGGAAGTGATATCTTGAAGACTGTGAAAATGATATAAAATGATAACCGTATACAATCGTTTGAAAGCAGGCACTGCACAACACTCACAACACTGTCACGAAATCCGCAAGGCATGACCAAAACTGCTTGGCGCTGTTAACATTTGCAAAAGCAAGAATGCCTTTAAGCTGTAACTGTAGCCGCTGAAAACATATTTCCTTTTCTCTTGCACGCTCTTTGCACTTATGGCAAAATTGTGACACCAACAACCTACACACATATCACAAAGCATCGCGGTGTTCAAGGCTGCTCCTGCTCATGGGCCGCGAATTGATTCCAGTGACCATATGGCCGGGTTGAACTTGAGCTCGATGTCAGAGTCATCATCCTCTGAAATGTGCATCACCATTCGACGAAGCAGCTTCTTTGGAGGATCCACCACATGTTTTTTGCGTTTCTCTATCCAAGCCCTGTGCTTCACCACCCATGGCACGAACTTTTTGGAGGGCATCGAAGAACGCTCTGTTGAAGGTTGGCTGTATGAACCACTCTAATGAGCGCAGCGGTTAGTTTGGGTGGGTCGTTCAAAAACTGTGAGCTGATTTTTTTTCAAGTGTCAATCATACAAGTCACCCCCTTGTCACATCATGCAAAACTGCACAGTTGCCAGATCAGAATCAACGTGGTCACTTATCAGTTGATTATTGTTTTTTTCATGACTGTTTTGGCATTGTCAATTGTCAGTCTTGCAAGCAGCAACGCCATGCAGTTCAACTTTTTCCCATCAGCGACTAAGCATGAATGCTTTATTAATTACAGCCGTCCTAGGCCGAAAAGCGCCCAGTGTTGCACCAATCTCACTCTTTGAGAAGTTCTGGGCCAACTCGTCGATCAAGACCTTAGGCCATGCCTGTAGAGCGCCGATCTCCCACAAGTTCATCCACCGTTTGAGGGTCACAATGTAGTAACGTCCATTGGCTCGCATACTTCAGGCTCGCACCACCATCGCAGCTCAGCATTTGCTTGCCATTGGTGTAGACGCTTTAGTTCCATTTTTCTGGCTGCGGCCCAGGACGCATTGCGCTCATGGCTTAGTTGCGTTTATGTAACATTCACCTCATTTGGCATTTATCTTCAGGACAAGTGGCTTTGAAAAATGAATTATCTCAATGCAAATATGTGCAGGTGCCAAGCTAAGTTTTCCAAGTGATGTGTGTGTGAATAAACTCTGCTTCAAAAATACATGGATTTGATTGAGTTTGATTATTTCTTTCGATTTTGTGGTTTTATGGTTTTGAGATTTTGATCAAAGCCTTAGAGTCCGCAGGAATGTGGTGGTTTGTCAAAATCAGAAACTGGTTCCAAGTTCATGTTTTGTTTTTGGACTTTGCTTTGTCGTGGTCAGAAAATTCATCAACGTTTTCACACTGAATCATTCACATTCTAATGCATCTGAAATACGGTACTTTAACATCAGCAACGTGAATTGCAACAACGTACATAACAGAAACTCACATGACACAGAAATGATTCGCGCGTCATCTGCTCCCAATTTTCACTCAAACTCTTTGAGTTAGTGTATCTCTTTCTTGGAAGCCAATTCGCTTCAAGGCTTCAAGGGAAAGCTTTCGCTTCAAGATTCCGAGGGCTAGAAGCCATTGCTGACTAGCCTATTCCAAAATCAAACTGGGTCATTGCCATCTCGACCAGCCCCCATGCCAATCATTTCGGCTCCACCAGCCCCCATGCCAATCTTGGCCGTCGCCTTGGTGGCCTTGGTCGTCAGCTTGATGCTTGGTTGGCGTCAGTGCGGCCTTGGTCGTCACCTTGAGGAAGATCCGGAGGCGGCGATTTCGCAATCGGGGCCGCTTTCATCACTGGCACCGGCACTGGAGCTTGACAGGCAACAGGTGCCACTGGCGGCTGAGCTTGATAGGCAACAGGCACCACTGACGGCTGAGCTTGATCACTGGCACCACTGGCGGCTAGACCTGGAGGCGGAACAGCAGGCAATGCTGGCGGGGGTCGGTTCTCCGCAATGATGGCTTCCTTAATATCACTTCTCTTACTAAAAACAAAGTTTGAAAGAACACAAATCAAAAAAGTTCGAAAGAACACAAATCAAAAAAAGTTCAATCAACAAAAACAACACGCCCAGCAAAGGTGCAATAAAGGCATCCAGCGTCTCCAAGTCATTTACCTGCAGCTTAAACCGATCCCAGTTGTACTGCACAAGCCTTGTTCCTTGGAGAAGCATGACGTTGTTGGCGAACGTCTTGTAGGCTGGCAAGACATCATCGAAGCTTCTATCTTCAGTCATGCTTTGAAGCATGGCCTCGTGCAAATCTCCCACTTTTGTCACATTCGTTCTTCCATGGAAGTTCGGCAAGAAAATCCTCACCGCTAACCATTGGCTTCGCTTATCAAAGTGATGGACGTTCATGTCTGATCTTTGCCACCGCCTCGATAAAGTCGTCACTTCATCATTGCCCAGGAAGTTGGACCTCGGAGCACAACAATAACAAACAACTTTAAACAAACAACATAACTAGCACAGCACACCAGCAACAACAAACAACTGCAATAATAATAAGTCAAGATAAAAGTTGTTCTGACAAATCCAGGGTGCATGTACTCTAAAAGAGCAAAAAAAAGGCCCCGATGCGGTTCCAACGCACCAAGGTCATTGTAGACGGCATCCCTTCTTTGAAGCAATTGCGTGACAGCTGCGTTCACCATCATGATGCTTGAGCAGTCCTGGTTCCGATGCTTAAGCAGCCCTGGTCCCAATGTTTGAGCAGCTCAGAAATGAGAAGTGCAAACTTTGACAGCATTTGAAAACTACATCTTCTTGAATGTGAACTCAGGATTTGAATTTGTTTGAATTTGACATGTTGGAATGATTGAAAATTACATCTTCTGGAATGTGCACAACATATAGAAGATAGTATAATACAATATCAATCTGAATGAATTTGAAACCTCTGCTGACTGTGAAAACAAGGCATCAGCCGCACTGTCTTTTTCCCCAACAAGTGACAGTGATCACGCGAATTTGACAGCAGCTAATTTGTTTCAATGAATTGTCATTCAGAGTCCGACTGAGTCCGACTCATGAAAACTTCCGCGAGACGGCCATCAATTTCAAAGTTCCCAGGTTTTTGTACAGCAAACGTCGTCAGTTGCAGTGTTTGCCCTTCTTGCGAGCGCCCTTATCGAATTTGTCCTTGGTCACTTTGCTTTGCCGCTTGTCCGCCTTGTAGATATTCGCAAAAGTAACTGCCCCGCTGCTTGGTGCCCATGGCAAGGGCTCAGGGTACTTCTCAGCGGAGCCAAAGATCCAAGCCCACAGCTTTCCCTTCTCCTTCAAGAACATAAGGCAAGAAGACTCATTGAAACCCACCTTGTCTTCATTGGCAGGGTTGAAGATGAAGTTGCGTCGATCCTCTTCAGAATTGCTGTTTGGCTGCCATTGGCCATTTGGAGACCGGACCCCCACCGGCACAGTGCCAAGCAGCTCAACCTGCCCCACAAGCAAATTGGCCTTCGTTTGTCCGATTGCGAAGGTGCCTCTCGTGTGTTCCAGGACCTCACTTCCCAGCTCTTCCTTTTCGTAGGGTCTTGATGAAAGATCTTATCGATCCATTGTTTCTGTATCATAATCGCCTTCTTTGGCTGGAGTATCATGCAGGTCCTCAGGATTAAGGTGACAATGCGAGAACATGCTCACACATGTTGACAGCAATAATGAACATGATGTGTTTGTTCAACCTGAGTGGGTTCCAAAACTTTTTACAAAGCAGCTTCTCCTTGACACGCTGGGCAGCAGCAGGATGCAAGCCCCCAAATACTAAGTCAAGTAAAAAGGATGTTGAAAAATGACGAGTGTCAGTAAAATGTCATTGCAAAAATATTTCCCCCGTTAAAGTGAAGCAGCCTCTGAGTCCTTGAGCCTTCAGCCACAGAGGTTCCAAGCAGCTCCATGACAGGACTGTGAAGAAACGAATCAATGCTTTTCTTGTCGGGCTTTGACTGTGAGTGTAGTTGCCATGCCCAGCATGACCTAGCAGTGGTGCGTGGATTGTGCCGGGCATGGCTTTACTTTCATAATGCATCTGTAGTTTTGTGTTTCAAGTTTTTGCTCATTCCCAAAAACGTTAGCGGCATTTTTCACAGCGCCTGACTGACCTAAGCTACCTTCTTCTTCTTGAATTTGGGAATTCGGGCATATGCAGCCGACGGAAGGCTTGCGGACGGAGTCGGCTCAGCCCAAATATCCAAGGGCAATTCCTGCAAGATGTTAACACTGTACAGGGCTCGGAGCAGGACTCGCTGCAAAATGTTCAGCGACATCCCATCACCAATTGCCTTCCCCATTTCAGTCACTGAATCATTTGCTTGCAACATGACCTCGACCCAATCCTTGCGCCACCCCTGAAGCCCAGCCATCTCATACAAGCTCATGAAGCGGCCAGACTTCATCAAATAGAAGCCTTGTTGGCCTCCTCGTGCTTTGGTAATGCAGGGACTCTTGCCACACGTCACGTGGAAGAATGCATCGCTGGCCATCGCATCCACGACAACCTCATCACCTGCATCATCACTGATGTCGATGCCCTTCTCCTTAAGCAGTTTCTTCCTTGGTAGAGGTCAAAGGAGACAGTAAGCTTGTTTAATGAAAAATGTTAATCGAATCAAATTATCAGACTAGCATCGCTCGCTTCACATTCTTTGCTGCAACCTCACTCAGCTTCGTAGCCTTCTTGGCGCCATGGTCTTTGGCAAGAAATCTCTTCAGTGATGATTGGTAGTTCACTGGGTCCGGAAATTGAAACGGCCGGGCTATACAGTTTTTCAATATTGCCACCAGGTAGACTCGAGGTCGGCTCTGCGGAATTCCATGCTCCTCAGTGTTGAGCAATGAACAGTCGCACTTGTACCCAGCTTTGCTCAGGCACTTTGAGATCCTCTTCAGAATCCATTTGTGCTTGTCCGATATCAGTCCTCTGACATTTTCTAGCACAAAAATAGGCGGCTTCTTTTGCAAGACATACTTCACTGAGTGGAGGATTACCCACCCCCGGCTGTCAGCCATTCCCCCCTCTGTCCCTGCCGATGAGAATGGGGGGCAGGGGGCTCCAGATACAAATACGTCCAAGTCTGGTGCAGTGTCATTGTCCCGCTCCAGCACATTCTTGTAGATAATATCTGGGGTATCGTTGCCCAGATGTGATGCTATGGCCCTGAGCCACTGAAGCTTGTTCTCATCCATTTCCGCCACAAATTTTGTCTTGACTTGAATGCTGTCATCCAAGATAACCGTCAAACTTACATAGTCAGAGCCCAATCCAGCGCAATCAGAACCAAGGCGGATGCTTCGTCCTGGTTTCCACCTCTTTGGCGGCGCAGAAGCTGCAGCCTCAGCTAAATTTTCTAACTCCTTGAAGAGTTCCTCAGCCAGCTTTTCCTGGTCGACACTGCATTTCACCGGCGCTTTCATCGGTGCTTGCTTGGGTTCGTCGTCTTTGCAATGCTCTTCTTAACCATCGGCCCTGCCATGTTAGTCTTTGCCACCTGCTTTGCAAGTCCTTTAGGTCGTGCAGGCCCAGCCTTGGATTTGGCTGCAACGCGGCCAACATCCGCAGTTTCATAGGATAAATCCTCCATTTTGATCTGCAAAGATGCAGCAAAGCAAAAGAAATTGTGTGCGCTCAACTTCTTTATTTTAACAATATTCCACACACAAATTTTTCAGAATAATGACTTCTCACCGATCCTCCCATTTTGCTATCGCAACGCCGCTTGAGTGGTCCAGTCATCATCGGCCACCAAATATCTCCTGCCAGGCAACAAGTTTCAAGTTGGCAGCAATGACATTGCAACGATTTGAGACTTGGAGCAACTTTCAAGCCAGCTCTTGTTTTTAACCTCCTCACCCCGCACCCCACGAGGTCATTGAAAGTCTTTGGGCCACACCAAATGTCTCTCTGACAAATTGGATTTAATGGCTCTCAAAGTGAAAACCCATCGCTGTCTCAGAGGTCACTTCTCACGGCTCTCAGAGTCCTCATCGCTGCGCAATTCCAACTGCTTAACTTTCTTGACGGTGGGGGTGGCGTTTTCGTCACCCTGCTTCTTAGTCTTCTTCGTCTTAGGCTTTGGTTTGGGCTTGGCTTCATCGATCTTCTCACCATCGCTGCCGTCGTCACCTTCATCAGCTTTGCGCTTCTTCACGGCCTTGTCAGGAACAATTCATAGATTAATTGTTCGAAAGTGAGTGAAGTCAAGCGTAAACTTTTCATCAGGATAATTATAGCATTCAACGACAATGCGGTCCTGTCCCAACTTGCCCCATTCTGGGGAATACAGCGGGTTCCCTTCCGTTGACATGGCCGTCTTGATGTAGGAAATGAGCTCCTCCACACAATCAACACCAAAAAACTATTATTGAATATTTAAACTTGTTTGTTTGATAATAATACTACGGCTTTCATCATGCCAGCCCAGCATGACCCAGCAGTGGCTGCAGGGTTGTGCCGGGCATGGCCAGAGAATGCCATCAGGTTTAATCGTTTAGTTTGTTGATTATTTTATGCTATCCTGCAACTGAGCCGAGTCTCCTGATTCAAGGCCACTGAATGCCGCTCACTCAAGCATACTCCATAGTAAGACAACCTCTTCTCAATGGCACTTTTGGCCAACTCTCCCTGCCCCGGCGTCAAATCTAGGACAGCCGATATGCTCCATGACGACAAAATTGTGTCAAACAAATTCTTGGGCAAAAAGTGGTAGAAGCAAGGCTCCACATCAGTGTCTTTCCGAGCCAATTCCTCCTGCTCCGCCGCCTCCGGTTCCTCGTTGTTGTCATCATCAGGTTCACCACCGCCGGAGGTGCCAAAGATCTTGTTCTTGAAGATTTCCTGAAATAGGTCTCAAATAAAGTATGACATAAAAGTATAGAAGTTTTTTTAAGTATGACAAAACAAATTTAATCCAAGCCACCTTCTTGTCCTCAACGGTTGTGTGCCAGGTTTGAGCAGAAGATGCCAGCCCAACAAAAGCAAGGACGTTGCCTCTGTTCGACCCAGTGAACTTGTCGTGCTTCCTTTCTGGGACCATCCGGTCCAGACATTCTCGGGTGATAAAAGACAACCTCTGGATTTGGTTCACTGATCCTCTGTTCCGTTTCTTTTTGGACTTGATCGAATCCTGGCTGATCACCACGTTGAGATCAAAAATTTCCAGGTAACCATTCACACCTCGAGATCCCCGGGTCTTGGCAGATCGGAACGGTGCCAAGCAAAGATCATTGCCTCGCCCACCATCATTGACAATGACAATGTCCCCCTCAATGGGGCAGTCAACCTGTGTGTCCCTTCCCGATTGGAGTTGACCCACGTGCCTTCAAGGCATTTCCAATCAAGGTGTGCAGCAGGTTGTCTTCAATGGGTGGTAGTCGGGTTGATGGTCTTTTCAAGCTTTCCCCAATCAGCTGGGGGGGTCGGATGAACACTGGCAGAGATTGGTTTTGCTTTAGCTTTGGCCTTTGACTGGGGAGTCTGAGCCTTCTTAGCTGCAGCATTGTTTGCCTTCATTCTTCAGCTCATGAGTCCGTTCAGCAATCAGGTCATTCTTGGCATCTTCCTCAGATATTCCTTCAGCAAGCTTCTGGCTTTTGATTTCATCACCTTCTTGTCTCAAGCCTCCACTTGCTCGCCATTGCTCCCAATCAATGGCTCCCACAAATCTTATTTGAGCCACTAAACTGACCTGATCAATAAAAGCAACTTGCAACTTATCAATAATTCAATGCACGACAAAAACATACACAGAACATATTTTCAACTGGCTGTCAGTCCTTGTCGAGACTGAACCAGTCCTGAGAGTTTTTTTTGAAAAAGATTGCTGATGTATATGCTCTGGTTGCGCCCGGAAAATGTAAAAAATGTCAAGTGGTGACGAGAAGAGGGGGTCCTCTCGTCACCACTTGACATTGCCGCTGATTCAGCCCGGGCTGGCTTGACGAAAGGTGGTTTTTTGGGGCAGCCGCGTATAGCGGTTGCGGTGGTTGCGGCGGGACTGGCGTATAGCGGTTGCAGTGGTTGCGGTGGGACTGTCGTATAGCGGTTGCGGCGGTTGCGGTGGGACTGTCGTATAACGGTTGCGGCCATTTAATTTCTCAATCATTTTTAAGCTTTGAAATGATTAGTAAAGTAGTTAGGCGACCGGCGATGACCACAAATTAAAACTTCAAATGAGAATGAGAGTTGACATGAAATTGACAGCTGGTTCCAAATAAATTTGGTCATGTCATTCATCCAATTTTCCTGCAAGGAATTCTTCATCGTAGTCTCGCAGTGGCGTCTTGGCTCATCGGTGTCATCACGTTGTCGATCACCTCCATCATCAGCATCGTCACCGTCGTCGTCGTGGAGATCCAAATTGTCTTCTTTAACGTCAACTGGCCCGGGCACCCTCCGCCTTTTCTTGGCCTCCCTCCGCCGTTTCTTCCTTTGCAGGTTGGCTTGCCTTTTGATGTCACTATTCACAAGCCCCCTCTTCTTAGCCATCCGCTCAATTTGGGAGCCAGTAGTCGGGGTGTAATTCTCCATGTCAAACTTCAGGAGATCGCCTGAGACAGAGTCAGAATTTGCAAAGGGGTCTGAAATTATATATTGTAAAAATATTTAATACGCTGTCAGTCAGTACACAGACATTTCAATTTGATTATATTTGATTAGAATTGTTTTTCTTTTTTTGTCACTGATTACCATCATTTCCCATGATCTTGATTGTGTTTGAACAATTTCATCGTCATGATCACATAAGAATCCAAGTTACCAACAATGCTCAACGACTGCTTGGCTGTTGGTGTGGACATCAATTGTCTCCAGACATTACTCAGAGTTCCACCATATGAATTCCACCCTTTTGCTGTGCAGTGTGGGAGTTCCTGCCCAGGTAATGGCGGGTTGTCAAAAGCCATCTTTCCTTCTAGCATCTCAAACCTAGGCAGCAAACAAAATTGCACCTTGAAAAAAAACAATGTCTCAACCAACATCAACGCAAAGCAAGACCTTTGATAGAAAATTATCATCCAAGGTTCAGCATGCAACCAGCTCCCCAAATATCATTTCGTTCTGAACAGCGGACTTCTTCATGCCAAACATCACCCGGCAAGTACTCCGGAGTTCCACATGGGCCTAATAAAGCTGCAGCTTGGGCCTTGGAGCAGCACAAGCCAAAGTCACCTAGTTTGGCAACGCCAGCGGTGAGGAAAACGTTGGCCGGCTTTATGTCAAGGTGGACCATGTCGTGGCTGTCATGCAGGTATCGTAAGCCAGAAACCAAGTTCGCAAGAATTCTTCCTGCAAATGCTGGTTCCACTCCACGAGCTGCGTGAATCGCCCCATGCAAGTCCCCTTCCAGTAGCTCCATCTCCGCTGTGTACCTGTGAAGCAAAGTTTGACTAGTCTTTCAATGAAGCTGAATGTTGTTATGCGCAAGTATTTAATTGCAAGTAGGTTGTCAAACTGATTCAACCCCTTGCCTGAACCTGGACCAGGGAGGGTTTGAAACATGCCAGAGTCATAAATGGGTACTAGATTGGGGTGCCGTAGCTTGTACATGGTATCTCGCTCCTGCAGGGCTTGGAACTGTTTGAAAGAAAACATAGGACAATAATTAACTTTTGATAATCTGTCGATAATCTGTGAACTTTTAGGTCACGAATCTTTGAAACTAAACACAACATCAATGATTGAGCCAGCTGTCCTCTTTAAGGGCGCCACACAGAAAGCTGCCCCCATACCTCCTCTCGCTAAGAGCTTGCAGCTGTCATACTTCTTGAACTTCATTACCCGGTTCCCCCCCTCCAGCTGGGAAAAGTCATCATCGTCATACATGGCGCTGGCTGTCCGGTTTGATGGTCAAAGCTGATGATGTCAGTAAACTAATGCATCAGTGGTTGCATTGTCACCCATTGAATTCTGTTCCTTAGTATCGTTTTTGGTGAGTGTCATAGATGGTTAGTTGTCACTGTGTTTGTCATTGTCTTGGCTGCTGTGTCTCAATGTTACTTGTTGTTATTCAAACTTTACACCGCCTTAATAAGCCACAATGTCAAAACATGAAGTGCTTGCACCGCTGAAACACCAATGAAACAGCAATGACAAAGGAAAAACCTTGACTTAAATAACAATAGGGTCAAGAACCCAATCCCCGACAAAGCCCGGCAGCGTTGCTGGGCCTGCTGGGCACAGGGATCAAAGACCCTCAATGAACTCAGCCCTCAATGGACAAAACGTATTTTGTTTGCGAGACGACCAGCTTCTTTTTTTGGACGGGCGCAATCGCAATCACTACCATAAAACCCAGGTCGCAGGTCACCTGAAGGCAGCTGGTTTTGATTTTTTGGGGGGCTGGGGGAGGTTCATTCAATGATATAACGCAGACAATCAAGCAAAAGAAAAACAGTGCCAAAAAAATACATGCCTCCTTAATTAGACAAGTTGGCCAACAACTTCAGTCAATGTGACTTCAACTCAACAGCATTCAACTCAGCTCAAAAATTTTTGAACCCTCGCAGCGCAACGCTGTGTGCCCCATCACTCCCCCATTGGCAGCTGTCTAGCTGAACAAGAGATTCAAGTCGTAGTCTTAGTGGCGCTGTCAATCCACAGTGACATAACCTTTTTCAATGATGAGATCAACAAATTGGACTTCTGGCGTTTCCCAACACCACCAAGACTGAGACTAAGACCTACGCAAACTTTGTCACATGTCCAGACTTCTTTTTGTCTAGCTTTGAAACATGGTCTATGAAGGATGATTTCGTGAACCAGTTGTCAGGCTGGCCATCGCCGCACTCACGGCTGACAGCAAGAACGCTTGCAGCCACAGCAGCCATCGACAACTCCCACCCGGTGCCACGCATCGATTTCACACCTGTTAACAGAAAAACTACAAAAATTTGACAATGCTCTGATTATTAGAGATTAAAACATACAAAAAATGTTTGCAAAATACTGCAAATACACAAAAAACATTAATTTGGCAACAGCAAGGCTCGATTGATCAAATTGAAAATGGCCCTGTGACTGTCTTTGAAGCCCCTCGTAATGTGTAGCTTCATTTTGTTCTTCCGGGCTGGCTTAAAATACAAGAGCAAACCACCTTTGCCTTGGATTGCAGAGCTGTCCACAACAACCTTCCCCATAAGTGACCCAATCCACCGGACACGTTCAGGGGGTTCAGCTGCATCTTGCACCACAAAGCCATCGGCCATCCACCTGTCTGTCGTCACTGACAAGTTGTGCTCCGCCAATCTTCGGAGCAGCTCAGGGGTCTGCGACTCTACCCAAAAGGACATGCCAGACCAAGCCTCCCAGTCCAGTGTCAATTGGTCTTCTGTGATGCCCGCTCTCTCCTTTTGCGATCTGCTATCAGCTTTTTGTCATTCAATGTGTCCACATAATTGCAACAACGTACATAACAGAAACTCACATGACACAGAAATGATTCGCACATCATCTGCTCCCAATTTTCACTTAAACTCTTTGAGTTAGTGTATCTCTTTCTTGGAAGCCAATTCGCTTCACTGGTCAGCCCGTGCGCGGAATCCCACATCGTGAGCCTAAATGTTCCTGTTCCTGACTCTTTTAGGAATCTACGGGCCCCGAAATCTATTATGTTCTGTTGTTCCTTAGAGCAAGGCGCTCGATTCCCAGTTCCCAGCTCTGCACCAACATTTCAGCAAACAATAGGAACGAAACAGTAAAAACCTCGTTTGTAGCAGGCTTCAAAAACACCCTACAGGGCAAAGGCTCCAGCCTTAATTTTGGCACGCACCTGGTCTTCGAGCAACTTTGGCGGCGACTAAAGGCAGCTGATATTCCAAGTATCAGCTCAAGTATTGGCCACGCAACCGCACCCACTCTGGTAAATCTTGGACTCCAAGAGTTTGAAACTCCCACAAGAGGCTCTGGGCACCACTACTCACCCAATCTCGCACATTTTCGTGCCAACTGAGACGGGCTTCCGACCGTGCCAAGGCTTCCTTGAGCTGCTCGCATTCCCCCTGCAACAGCTTGAGTTTTTCCTCTGCCATGTCCTTTGCCTGCTGCAAGCGACTGATCTCGGCCTCTGCATCTGCAACACCCCCTTTGCAGATTTGGATCACAGGTCTCGTGTGAAGCGAATCCATGGTTTTGTCCCATAGCTTCTTGGAAACTCTGATTCTCGATCCGGCTCGCTTCCTTTCATATGATCGTTGCTTCTCACGGCGGCGAGCACTGATTTTCTTGGCAGCCTTTTCCTTTGCATTGCTCCGCCGATTCACGGTCGATTTCTTGGCAGCCATGACACAATGAGAGCGATGCGCTGTGTAGCAAGACCTGCTTGTTATGTAACTAATTAAGCCGAATTCCTCATTGAAGACGGATGATTGCAAAGAATTATGCATTGAACAAAGTTAGCATCTACCCCCGCTGCGAAATTGCAACTTACCGTCAGCTACGGGTGTGCCAATCCATTCCAACCTGAGCCCGAGACATGGCTTCAGCACATGTTGCTTTAGACTTTAGATGTTTCTAGATTGAAAGCAAACATTCCGCAAAACACATCACCCCACAATTCTGTGCATCTGAACGAGTAGTCCGCTCAAAGCTGGTCGACCTAACGCTTTAAAAGGATCACCGCCGTACGTGTTCCCAAGTGATGCACCCTTAACCGCTGGCCTGCGCCGCGTTCAAAGGACTCCCTCGTCTGAGCGGCCCTGCCAGAGCCAACCAGAACATAATATATGGGAGCGCGTCCAAGTATGAAAGCGCATTTAAATTGCACACATACGAGAGCAGATATGTGATAGAGTATGCGACAGTGTGCGTGTGGGCCATGGGAGCACACAAGGGAGACACACTGGAGATATATGTACGTACGAAGGAGTGCCACCATCAAAGCTTGGTAGCCAAGATCCTAAGTGGAAAGGGGTCTAACCTAACTTTGAGCGGTCTACGCCGGTCGGACACACGCATGACTGCAGACCTGTATCATCCTGAAACAGCCTGATGAGTTCAACAAAAGCAGGTACAGGATCATGCGTCCATGAACCCTTCCACCGAACTTCCGTAGCTTCGTTGGGCAACGTATGAAGAATGGTCGTTGCATGTGTTTAGGGCACTCGGAATTGGACCATCGCTTTCATTTCGTGACTTGGCAAGCGCTGGGCCCGGCACCTTGTCGAACGTCGCCTATAGAGTGGCATTACCCCATGTCTGATCCAATGCTTTGCTGCGATGCGCTGCCTTTTGGAACACAAAGGAATCACAGCGCCTCGTCTGAGAAGCCTTCCTTCAGTCCATTGTGACTTGAGAAGCGCCGGGCCCGGCGCCTTTCCAGCTTTTGGCAACACATTCTGTGACTTGAGAAGTCCCGTTCCCGGTCTCCTGCGTATATGTATGCTCTCATGTGTGTGTGTGTGTGACCCTTGGATTCAGAGGTGTTGCCTTGAGCAGTTTTTTGATCGACTTTTGAAGTGCAGTAGGTGTCTGAACACAGCAGAGGTGCCGGGCCCGGCGCTTGCCAAGTCAGGAGATGAACAATGCGATTCTTAAAAAAGCCATTGATGGTTCCAAGTGGTCCACAGACTGTGCGTCCCTGCGGTGCAAAAGGTGCCGGGCCCGGCGCTTCCCAAGGTCATGGAACAACGACAAGCAGTTCTTAGAGGAGGAATTGTGACTCCACAGGTCTGAAGGAGGCATGTGGAAAATTGTTTTCTTCCACAGGTCTGTTTTCTACTGCTCTTCTACGGCGACATTTCCTGGGGGTCGGCGATCAAAAAACAAAGCTAAATGAGTTTGACTTCGCAATTTCATTCTCAGAACCCGGCGCAAACTTATTCAATTGGTCGGCTTGACGATATAGATTATAAACTTCAATAACAAGGTTGACGCCAAACATCCAATGAAACAGCATCAATGAACATCAAAGACAGACATCACACTATCATAAGACGCGGAAGGTTGTTCCACTTAGGTCTAGATCGGTTCGCGCTCCTTCACAGCTTACTGGTCGTCATTGGCGTTGGGCGCTGGCTCGGCTGCGCTTGCCTCAAGCAGCTTCAAAGCCGCGAAGGCGCCCACGCCATGCACCTGGAGAGAGCAAGAATTAATGATACCGTTTTTCCCACCCAGGCATCCTGGCCCTGGATTCATCGCTAGCATTCTTCAGACCCTTGGATTCTTCAGTAGTTTTCTTTCTCCATTAAATAATAAACACATAGTCTATTCTGATATCGATCTCAGCGGATCTTAGCGCATTTGCACGGCTCCAGGCAACTGTCCAGACAAGGTGAACAATGCTTTCCATGGAGCCTCCGCAGGTCTGTATCGATTTCAGCGGCCATCGTAAACAGCAAACGCTTCGCCTCATCCACCCGCTCAATGATCCGCTCGTCATCCTCAGGTGAAGTTCAAGTCGATAGAGCCAAAACTCAATCACTAGATTCACTAGATGTTCGCACAGAACAAACACTTCAAAGTATATTCCAAGTCTCCCATTTGCTTTCCTTGAGCTTCCAGGCAGCATCTTATCATGTGCATTGGCATCAGCGTCCTCTGTACTCTCAACTTCCGCTTCCCGAGTCTCTCTGTGATCGGCAGCTCGCCGATAATCATGCTGAGGCTGGTCCTTGTTCCAAGTTATTTGGGAATAACAGACTTCCAAAACACAAATACCAAAAGAGCCCAAAATAGCGAGCCTCCTGGTTGTTGGTGATCTCCTTCAAGGCGTGCGCTTTCGGCGTCGGAGCGTGGGCCCACGTTGCCGGCGCACGTTGCCGGCCCACGCTGCCGGCCCATGTCGCCGGCGCCGGCGCGCTGAGGTCCTTGGGAGACTTCGGACAAAG